GGGGGGGGAGCTGCAGGAGTCAGGGTTAGGGTATGAGAGGGTGGGAGGACCTATTCTGGCAAACAGGAAATGTTTTATTTGCATAATGAATATGCAAATATTGCAAATGGATTTGCCGATCCCCGGTTTAAAGACAATTGGGAACCTCTGTTCTGCAGCACCCCTGTGCTCTGTCGCAGGAGGACCCGTGTTTGTACCGGGTTCCGTTCATTCCACCTCTGGCCTCTCTAGAGTTCTACAACTGCAACCAGGCGCCGGGACCTGACTCAAAGGGACACGAGATTGGCCTCTGCACTTCACCACCAGCTCTCAAAAGCATTTAGCGTCACCGGGGTCACCTCTGGAGGGGCGGTAGCGCCCTGCGCGGATACAAACGTACAGCCACAGCTGTGGAGAGCCATGGACATAGATCGGTACCTGCAGGGTCCCCAGGAACCACAGCCGTGGAAGGAGCAGAAAGCGGAGCCGCTGCTCCCAGAAGCCAACACCCTGCACCAGCTCCTGTGGCGTGACTGCACCGTCCCCACCCTGCCCCCTTTCCTTCCATGCAGCTGTCTGCTTCTCCTGGGCAGGTGAGCCGGGTGCCTGCCCCGGTGGGCAGGGCTGGGGTGGTACAGCCACGCTGGAGAAGCTGCTGGCGCAGGGCGTTGGCTTCTGGCACTGGCAGCTCCACGCTCAGCTGCTTTCGCTGCTGCAGTTCTGCAGGCATACCCGGATACCCGGGCAGGCCTCTCGGTATTGCCGCAGGGGCAGATCCAGAGGGAACAGCCTCACTTCTCTAGATTCCCAACCCCTGCTTGAACGACAACATCAGCCCTTCCGCCTAGGTGGCTGCAAATCGTCTCAGAGCAACTCCACACCCCCACACCCCCCCCGAGTTACTTGGGTACTTACTAGTTTGGAAAACAGTATTTTGGTATCTGATCACCTGCAAAACCTGCCTTGATCACACCCGAGCCCTGTGGGAGGAACAGAGAAAGGTGTGAAAAACAAGTACGTGATCTAGCCATCTAGATTGGAGAGTGCGCTTGTTCAAGATCTCCTCCCACGTGGGAAGAGCCCGGGGCACCACGTTAGTAGGCAGCTTCCTCTTCTCCTCACGCGAAGCACGGGCTGGGGTGGGTGGGGCCAGGACAACCGGAAGCCCCAGAAAAGGACAGTTTTCCATACCATGCCAAGGGAGGGGCTGCTCTCCGAGGGATGCGATATGAGAGGCCGGCGGGGGAGCTCTCCTGCAGTGTCCGCCAGGGGCGGCCGCACCACCAAGGGAGTGGCCAGCAGGGCTGCAGCTCCGCCATCTTACACTCCTGCCCCAAACCCTTGGCTGCAGTGCTGGGGGGAAGGGGAAGAGAACAGGCCCTGGGCAGGGGGCGAGCACACTGCTGCCCTGCACCCTCATATCCCTGGGCAGCACCAGACACGCCTGCTAGTATTGACCAATTCTGCACGTCAGTCCTGTGGCACCTGTGCTCCCAATTTAAAACCAGGTGGCCTGGCCAACGGCGCACGCACAGCCCTTCCCCTCCCTGTGTCGCTCCTCCCCAGGATAACCACCCCCTCCCGCACTGGCAATCCAAATCCAGGCAAGCTCTCCCTGGGGAAGATGATGATAGAAATGTAGCCGTGTTAGTCTGGTGCAGCTGAAACAAAAGACAGGACTAGGCAGCACTTTAAAGACTAACAAGATGGTTTCTTAGGTGATGAGCTTTGGTGGGCCAGACCCACTTCCTCAGATCAAATAGCGGAAGAAAACTGGCATGACCATATATACCAAAGGATACAATCCAAAAAATGACCACACATGAAGATGGGCTTCAGTGTGCCAAAGCGATCCTGAGGGGAAGCCATTCCCACCCTCTACTGGCAACACCTTGCTGGACCGGCCCGGAGCGCGAAAGCTGAGCAGTTCCAGCCAAAAGCAGCAGCTTGTCTGGCTCCCACAGCAGTCTGCTTCAGATTGCAGCACCAAACACTGCCGCCGGTGTCACATCGGGAGCATGCTAGGGGCTCAACACACCCAGGAAGCGAGGCCCCAGTCCCTACCGGCTTCCAGCCTCATCTAACACACACACAGATGGCGGAGAGGCTAATCATTCAGCGGCCAAGATTAGTAAAATCCCGGCAGTTTCATTTCTGAGCAGCAGGGCTGTCGAAGGGTAACCGGCAGGCATGCGGCTTACCGGGCTGTGTTTAATGGTCAACCGGAATTTGCCCAAATCCGGCAGCTGGCCAGCTGTGCCACGTTGGCCCCATCTGCATCGAGCTGGCAGACCGGGGTGGCCCCAGCCCCGTCTGCAACAGGCAGGTCAGCCTGGAGCAGCCCCAGCCACGCGTGGCTGGCAGAACCCTGGCCTCCCAGCCCCGGTGGGACCCCAACTGCCCGCCACAGCGACCGTGGGGAACGGTTAATCAATGTCCTTTTAATGCTTCTGCCAGTTAACCGTTGTAGCCACTCGTCACCCCCTGCTTAGAAGGGAAGGAGGCCTGTCCGAAGAAGCATGCCTCAGATGGGCTTTGGAGGGAAGGAGGGAACCCTGAGCCAGGGGAACCCTTCAGGGGAGAAGCACCACCTGGAAAGCAGACTGGAGGGGAGGCTGGGAGACGAAGCCGAGGGGCTGAGCTCTCTGAGGCAGGGACAGACCATTAGCTCTGTGCTCAGCAGGCCTTGGGCACAGCGAAATCCCGATCCTGGACCGGGGCGAGGAGTAATGGGAGCACAGGCTTGGCAGCGCTAAGGGGACAAGCGGGAGCAAAAGGAAACGAGCAGATAGGAACGAGGGATGTTAAATATCGGGGGATCGAACAGTCCGTTCCCCTCATGAATTCTTATCGGTTACTTGACTATTCTGTCAGCCCCGGGGCTGGCAGCCACCGTGGTCCAAA